CAAAATGCACGTCACTGGGCCTAATCTGCTGCCCAGAGGTCAATCTAAGCGCTCCTCACAGCCTTGCAAAAGCAGTGACAGTGAGTCGCGGTTTCCAAACACCGGCAGCAGCGCTTTTGGTTCATTGGCATCGCTGAGGTCATTCACGATAAGCCACCAAATGGTGACTGACCATCCTAGTTTCGCACCGCGAGGCACAAAAGCTCTCCCCTTCACCTGCACGCGCCCCCTCCCAAAGGCCCAAATTGAATTTAGATTGCGGTAGCGTCGACTTGGCGGTAGCGAATTTGAGGCAAGGTCGCTCCACTGATTCCTCCGTCCCTCATTGCCTCTTGGCAAAGGTTAATGATGTGGTGTCGAACGTGTACGGATGTACGAGTGGTGAATGGCTCTGCCTGAGCACTTTTGCCTGCCACTCGTGACTTTGTCACCCGACTGAATGAAGGCGCCCAAGCCAATGCCGCCGGTCAAGCAGAGTTTCGGCCAAGAGCACAGCCAGGTCAAGATACATGATTGCGCTGAGTCGAACAGGACGTAACCAGACATGTATACATATACACATGCTGAAACGATGCCAGACTGCCTAGCCCACCCCTTACACGTCAGCTGGAGCGGTAACGGTCTCCAACTCCTCCAACTCATTACACTCTGCCACTCACACGAAAGCGATCGTGAATTTGTCCAAGTTGGTCGGTGAGCACATCCAAAATTTCGACGACGACGACGACGACGACAAAGCACACTCTAGTATCGTCGTGCACAAATCGCTGCGCAGCTTGCTCACCATGGATCCCACATACCACGAGGCGTCTGACTCTGCTTCGCCTCCAGCAACGCCAAACCCAGCTAGACTCCGCAACACCTCTGCACCACCACGCATGAAGCTGCCCCACGGTCTTGCGCCACTCAGCCAACTCGACGACGCAAGCAGATCCGCCTCCTATCGAGATGAGCGGAGGCCATCACAGCCGAACGCGAGCACCGCAAGTAGCGAAAGCGGTGGTCTTCTCACTTCTCCAGATGACCGAAGCCGAAAGCCGTCCAACCAATCATCTTCTGTCTCCTTCGCTCCTTTGCCCATCACACGTCAACCATCTCCAGATGACAAGGAGAGTTTGACAGTGACCGCAACAGCAAGCCCCACTTCCAAGGACTTGAAAAAAGGAGCAGGCCTGGATGAAGACGAGCTCAAGAAAGCCGACGGGACGTTGCTCGCTTTCAAAAATTCGACTTCCGGTGCGAGGAGGGGATCGGCGGCGACGATGCTGAGCGTTGGATCGGTCGGCGAGCGCATGGCGGCGTGCAACCAATCCAACAACTACAACGATACTCTGGGAGCCTACGGTGCTGGTTCCTCATCACTCAACTCCGATCCCATCACACCGTCCCGAACGCCGTTGGTGACCGAGCTAGCAGAAGGTACGGATCCTTTGAAGTGGAGCCTGAGATTCAAATGCTGGGCCACCGCCGTATACTGCCTGATGATCTTGTCGACGACGTACGGTTCATCGTCATACGCGGCATCCGCCATCACCGTCGAGCGGGAGTGGGGCTTGTCGAGGCCGCTGGCCACCTCCGGCACATCCCTGTGGGTGCTCGGCTTCGCAGTCGGTCCCTTGCTTTTTGGTCCCACAAGCGAAGTCGTCGGTCGTCGTCCAGTCTACCTCGTCTCTTTCGCTCTCCTCACCATCGCCAACATCGTTGCGTGCGTCGCACCTGACATCGAAGTCTTGCTCGCTATGCGCTTCATCGGCGGCTGCATGGGCTCGTCGGCTCTCAACAATGTCGCAGCATCCATTTCCGATATGGTACGAGTGCGCGACCGTTTGAGATACTTGACCATGTACCGTGAGTGTCGGAGACGCGACGCCAGCATCTTGCCATGCATTCACTGATCTTCGCCCCCCCACACCGTGTCACCTGTCAGGCATTGTCTCTTTCGGCGGTCCAACTCTTGGTCCGCTCGTTGGGACCTTCCTCAACCAAGCGTCTTGGCGATGGAACCTCGCCGTGCTACCCTTCTTTTCCTTCACCACTCTGGTGCTATACGCTGCCACCGTGCCCGAATCGCATCGAGTCACCATCGCCCGCAAGCAGCTCGAACAACGACAAAAGGAGCACGAAAAGGAGGTAGAGAAACTTTGCGAGGAGGGCAAAATGACTCGATCTACCGGTGACAGGAGCAAGAGAGAGCTAGGCGGCCCTTCGCTGATGCAGCGCTACAAGACGGCTCTGTCGATGCCTTTCGTGTTGCTCTTCACCGAGCCCATCGTTGGCATCGTGTGCATCTACACTGCGTGAGTGATTCGACAAACACGATGATTTGTCCCTTGGACTGACTTGAAGTTCGCGTTCTTTATAGCCTGCTGTACGGATTACTCTACGGCATTATCGCAGCTTTCCCTCTCGTCTGGCAAGATATTAGAGGTAGAAGCCCAGAGTATGCATCTACCGTTTTCCTCACACGTGAGTACCAATGCGACGGTCAGCCTATCCATACCCATTCTGACCACCGTTGGGCGATCCAAAATCTTCAGTGCTCGGCGGTTTCTGCCTTGGCGCCGGCCTGATCGGATGCTGGCTACAAGACAAGTCTTACAAACGCCAATACGATGCGGGAGAGGTGACGCCAGAGTCGCGAATCGGACCTGCAACTTGGGCCAGCTTTTGCGTGCCAGTCGGTCTTTTCGTCTTTGGCTGGACGGCACCCTACGACAAGCTGGTCGGCAACCTTGACATCCACTGGGCCGTCCCTTGCATCGCGTTGGTCATCTTCGCTTTCGGCATGCAAGTTGTCTTCAACTCGTGGTTATCCTACTTGGGCGACGCGTATGCTCCAGTCGCCGCTTCGGCCATGGCGGCAGCCACCTTCTCCAGATCGCTGCTCGGCGCTGCTTTTCCGCTCTTCTTGAGACAGTGGATGCTGGCATGGAGCGTGCAGATCGTCTTCTCCATTCTGGGCGGACTCAGCATACTTCTCTCATTCGGAGGTCTGCTCTTTGTCCGCTACTGACCTCGCATCCGCGCCCGTTCCACGCGCACGGCCACGGAAGATTGATTCGCTTTGATCTTTCTCTGTAGATAGTCTGGATCAAAATGCAAGCCCTCTCGCACACCTGTATCATACAACCTGACGCGCTCTACGAATCCCGTCACTTACCTCATCAATACGCGCAATGTACATCTCGAGGGTCAGTCCCAGTGGTTCAGGCGCAAACTTGGTTCGCATTGGGTATTGTGGTCGTGCTGCCCTTAGAAGCTGTAATGATTTTTGCATTCAGCCGAGGACCCTCCTGAGATCAGCCGTGCCGCCAGAAATCTCGACGAGAGTGACGGGACATCTTGAGTGCTCATCGACATAGCCATGAGCGCAGGTGTAGCAGAGGGCGTAGCCGGTGGGCAGCACGCAGGGATTGTTGATGGGCGTGCTTCCACAAAGAGGGCAGGCGTTGTGCAGCAGGACATCCTTGGTCTCTTTGAGAACCGCCCGACCGTCCTTGTCGACCTTGCGTGTAGGTGCCGCTCGGGTGGTGGAGATAAGGGGCTGCTTGAACGCTGGGTCGCGTTTGTACAGACAGCCTTGAGGGTGTGGCAAGAGAGGCTTCGGGCCAGGGAACAACGGTAAGTCTCCATCTGCTCCCGCTGGCCCCCCATTGGCGGCTCCTCCTCCTCCTCCTCGCGAGCCGCCTCGTCTCCGACGTGGATTGTCCGCCGAGTACCACCACTCGAGGAATTTGAAGAAGAAGATGGAAGCGGGGAGAGCATACTTGAGCGCTTCAAAAAAGATGAAAGGTGACGCGCGCAACAAGGCTAAAGCGAATGAGATGGGTGATCGTAGCGGGTTTGGCATATCCGGCGGTAGCAGGGGTGGGGAAGCAGGCTGCGCCAGGTGGATGGAACGTGAAGATGATAAGCAACGTCAGCAAGCCCAACGGGCGGCACAGGCTCAAACAGCACATCGAGCTCACATAGTCCTCTGCGCTGACTCTCCGGACGTCAACACGCATCGCTTGCAACCAGGGCCTCCAGTATGGTGTCCTGTCGAACAGGTAGGCCACGTTGTACGATAAGAGCCAAAGCTGATACCCTGCTCCGACGTAAGGATAGCCACTTCTGAAGCACTTGCGAAACAATTCTCTCAATTGTTCTGTACGGCTCGTTTGTGCCTGAGCGTTTTGGGCGAAGTGAAAGTATCAGGAAAGGAACGCGGGCATGGACTGCCGCGCGCTGCATCGAGAGGCGCATGTATTCGACTCACTAATCCAGCAAACCGTCTGGCGGCGCCACCGCTTTCTCCTTGCTCATCCTCATCATCGAACAGCCCGCCTTCGGGAGCGCCACCTCCGATACTTTCCCAGTAGTCATGCAGCTTTGATTTGATCCACGGTGCGCCCACTAGCAAGAACAGACTCAGATTGATCTCCCTCGACCTGAGCTTTTCGTAGCGTGCCAGGGAAGTGCGCGTACTACCTGTGCTGAAAGCTTTGCTGCGAGAAGATGACAGACCTGGTCTCCTCCTTCTGCGCAAGCCGTAGAAGTTTTCGGCGAACGAAGAGCCTGACAGAGGAGAGGAGGGGTCAGCAGCGGTTAGCGATGTACTGACACTGGACGACACAGCCATCCATCGCCGATTACTTTCTCAACTCACCCCACGTGGTCAGGTAATGCCGTTCCACAGCGAACATGGCGAGCGCATACACCTCATCGAAGCGGTTGGCGACCCTTATCAAGTACCTGGGATTTCTCTGCGCAAGGACTGCCAGGACATACCTGAGAGCTGGTTTGAGTAGATCCCTGAGCTGATCTTGAGCTATCAATTCGAAGAAGGAGGGCCGGAAGGGATCGCCTTGCTGACCCGAGGTGGGGTCTACTGACTGCAATAAATCCATCGTGGGACGCTGTCGTGTGGCTCGCTTGACTTCGGCGCTGCAGAATGTTTCGACTATGGCTGGCCGATTAGGCAGCGAGGTACTGTGACTCTATCGTGACAACCTTGTAACGGAGGGAGAGCCAGAGAAGCGTCGTGTGACAGTGAGCAGTGTGTCGCATGTGTACGCTACGCCACCTCGCTGCGGTAGGTATAACGGTGTGGACCGGCTTCGGGTTCGTCCTGATCGGCCGGGGCTGCGCCTATACACCGCACTCAAACTCACATTCATCAGATTCAAGCGTATATGCGGGGTTGTGCTGCAATCAAATGAATCTGCTCTCACGCGCCAGGCTTACCGGTCACGTGTCAAAGAGCTGCCAGCGCTTCGAAGATCGTGATTTCAAATTTGCTGCCAAATTGCGCGGCCATTCGTGGATTTGATTTCCAAGGCCCGAAGGTCAAATCATTCACAATTGTCAGAGGTTGCTGGGCGACTTGAAAACGAGCCTCTCGATACCTCCTGCTATACTCAGACTCTAGACTCCTTAGGACTGGCGTGACTGTAGCGAGCGATCCCCAAGTGGCGGGATGGAGGGTTCACTTGCAGCGTAGCGCACGGTCGGAAGGGAGCAAGCACGAGATGGAAGCTCTCGGAAGATCTTTTAGGGGCCGCGAAAGGTAGACAACGCAGCCGCCTTCACTACGACCTCAATCAAGGGAAGCAGTCGCACAATCAATGCGACACAAAGATGCATACACCTCGTGCCAAGCCGCTCGCAAGCCTCGTGAGAAGCGCGAAGCAATCACCAGCGCGCACATTCAGCACCTCGTCCAAGCGAAACCTCACGCAAGACGGCCAGTATTTGGTGCTGGGCATCGAGACGTGAGTCAACCTGCGTGTGCGCTCGTTCTTTTGCGTCTGCGCCACCACCAAGCTCATGAGGGATAACGCGCTCCGTCTGCCACTCACCCCACATCGTGCCAAACAGATCATGTGACGACTCATGCGTCTCCTTGGTGAGCGCTCCACCATCCTACATTACGGCAGCCCACCTGTTTGCGTCCCAAGTATCCACGCCTCAAATCGATGGCAAGCTCAACCAAGAACGGCCCAGAGCTCGCATTATTTCTTCTATAGTGCTGAAGCAATCGGAGCACAACAAGACGCGAGGAGTCAGTCCTCTGCCTGCTGCGCATCTACACTCCAAAAATTTACCTCGAGCAATCAGCCTGTGTCTTGAAGAAGGCGTGTCAAACAAAGTGCTCTCTCAGATCTACAGTGAGAAGCCCGGCCATTCGACGCACACGGATAGCAGCTCGCGCATCCATGCAGCAGACGAAGCGCGCAAAAGCCGTCTCGTAGTTGGGTCGCCCGCTGAAGTGGATGCGATTGCCGTCACTCAAGGGCCCGGCATGCCAGGCTGTCTGACAGTAGGCTTGGGCGCTGCAAAAGTGCTGAGCTCCCTCTGGGGCATACCGATCGTTTACACTCATCACATGGTGGCGCACGCGCTGAGCCCTCTGCTGGCCTCAGATGACCTTACTCAGCCTCAACGCACAGCCATCGACGGCCAGGGTGCTCAGGACTTCAACTCGAGCGCAAGGATCGACCGCAGGCCTATCAGCTTTCCTTACCTCGTCTTATTGCTTTCAGGAGGTCACACCCAGGTGGTTCTTTGTAGTGGTCCCAAGCAATTTCAAATTCTGGCAACCACGACGGATGAAGCGATCGGTCGCTGCACAGACAAGATCAGCCGACAACTTGTCGATTTGCACGTCAGTGACGACGACAAGGTCACAGGCGATTTAGCCCCAGGCAAAAGGCTCGAGATGCTTGCGGAGTTGGGCAACGATCCAGCCATGGCAAAAGAGATACCGCACTATGACGTGGCCGTCTCGTGCCGAGGCGAGCCCATGTTCAGCTAGTAAGTCAAGCCCATATTGCAACATTTTGAGCCCGATTGCTCATTCAGCATCTCGTTTGCTCGTACTCCTCAGCTCAGGACTACATACTCGGCTAGATCAGCTTATTGCAGCCGAGCACGCCAAAATTTCCGAGAACTCCTCACTTTCGGATGACACCGGCTTTCCGCTTGCTTCGCGCATCCCTCTGCCCACGCGGATTGGTCTGGCGAGGGCTTTCCAAACAGCAGCGTTTGCTCAATTGACAGACAAGGTTCGGATGACGCTGGCTCCACGTGTCGCCGCCAACGCTTCCTCAGCCGTCCAAGAGCAACACGTGCGCCACAATGCCGAGTCTCAAGCTCGAATGGAGGCATCGCACCCATCTGTGGTCGCATTCTCACCGGAGCCGCGCAAATCCGGCAAGTCGTACCACACGCGTCTTCCGGGCTCAAAGCTGATCGACACTCGCATAGAGCTTCCCTTTGGGCTTCAGCCCGACCAAATCAAACATCTCATAGTCGCGGGTGGTGTGGCTTCCAATGCGGAGCTTAGACGGGCTCTTCACTCTTCGCTCGCCGACATAGGCAGGCAAGACGTCAGCTTATATTTTCCTCCGTGAGTGTGCCTTAGTCTGCACGTGCTCGTCGTTCGACATGCTCACATGAGCGCTATGGCCCAATCGACCGGCGTCACGCCTCGTCCTTCCTCGCTTCAGCGTATCCCTCTGCACTGATAATGCAGCCATGATAGCCCATGCCGCTTTGCTCGACTGGGACAACAGGACATGGGATCTTTCGCCATCGCCGAGGGGCAAATGGAGCGTTGAGGATCTTGCATTTGGACAAGATGCTGGAGAATGAAACGAAGAGTGAAACGCACTTGTCTGATGGATCTGCAGTCAACATCAATCACGCAATGATGGAGCCAAAAATCAAGGTGATGCGCTCGCACATCACATGGGTGGTTATGTCAGCCGGTGTCAGTTCAAGAGTACAAAAGCAATCCCCGTCATCCGAGCGTTCAGTCTGAAAGTGGTCCGCGCGTCCGCTTGCCACCGTCAGGCGTCGAACCCCCGGCGATCGGCTCGTACATATAGCAACACTTGCAGACGTGCAGATGCATCAGGTGGAGGAGACTCCCTTCTCTTCGGCTGCAGGCGCCAGCATCACAATCGTTTGCGCTCTGAACATGTTGTCAAAATTTCTGCAGGTGAACACCAATCACGCGCCAGGATTGTCGAGATGCGTGCCAACCAGCATTACTTCTCGACATCCTTTTCACCAGCGTAGGATCCACGCGCTGGAGCTGAGTAGGCAGGTGGGGCGTGGAGATTCTCTTTGCTGGGTAAGGGAGGTGCGCTCGAGCTCGAACTTCCGCGGGCTGTATTGTGAGTGCTGGCGCCACTGGTGCTGCCGGGGGCACCCGCAGGCTCGACAGCCATTACGATCTCTCTACCATCATCCATCCGCGCTTTGAAGGTTCCTCCAGCCACTCGAAGCAGACATTTGCGACGCACGCCACTGTTCGCATCAAAGCACACGAAAGCATGTCGGATTAGCATCCAGGCGCACTCTACGTGTGAACAAGATCACTCACGAAATATCTTTGTAGACCGCAAAACAACCCTTGCCAATGCTGCCGGCTTGACCGCCGATAATTTTGGCTTCCGACCCATACCTGTGCTCAATCACCTTTCCCGTAGCCTCTCCGGTATCTGTAATCAATCGCTCGGCTCCTTGCTCGAGCCCATCGATCACCATGTTTGCCGCTATCAGGCTTCTGTTGATGGCTCCCCTCCAGCCGGTAGGAGGTGGACCACCTGGCTTGGACTGGATACCTGTGCGTTTGCCAATGCTGGAGCCCACAGCTCCTGCCTTGTTCAAGATCGCATTAGCTGTGTCACCGGAATACTGGGTGTTAGTATCTCTGACGACCACACTGAAACAACGCTGCAATACAGTGTCTGGCTCCCTTGACTCACTGGTAGCGCTCGAGACGTTGACCACTTTGCCCGTCCAATTGTGTGCGCCTTTCGCAGCCGCGTGCGTGTGAGAGTTGAAAGTCAAAGGAACCTTTCCCGAAGTGGTGTAGTTGCCGCTCGTCGAAGCGGTGGTTCCGGATCGCTCAAGGCCAGGAACAGGCTGGCCAGGAAGGGATTCGAAATGCGTGCCATCCGCTGAAAGCTGGGCACCTGTATGCGGTGGTGGGAGATCTGCAGAAGGCTTTGCCGTGCGTTCCACTGACCATCAAGATACGGCGCAAATGATCCATTGAGAGTCAGATCCACTGCATGTCGACGAGATGGCGATTTGCCCTCTCCTTCCACTCACCGTAAGAAGACGCCGCGCCTTGCAATTTACCACCAAGAAAAGTAGATCCGTTCACGATACCTCTCGAGATGTAGTTGGCCCCCTTTAGCAGCCAATCGTCTTGAAATGTTGGAGCAGGTCGGACGTCCACGTCCTTCTTGTGACCCGTGCCATTTGCGGCCGATGAGAGGTCTTCGAGATCGACAAGGACTGGCTGCTTCTCAGCTCCCACAGCCGAAAGGCTGGAGTCCTCCTTGAAGTTGTATGAGCCCGCGAGAGTGCCCATCACTTGCCCATGCTCGTCTAGCAATTCGATCTGGCCCGCATCGGACCTGTCATCCGACGCGAATGCGCAGTATTGGGCCAGCACATCCTCAAAAGCGTCTCTGAGCCCTTGAGAGGCGGCATCGTGCGAAGAGAGGTAGATGCGAATGGAGGCTCCAGTATCCGGTTGGGGAAAGTTGTAAGATGCCGAGCTGCGGTCGGGAAAAACTCGCTGCGTTGATGGGATGGGCAGCGAGAAGTCATTACCGATGGAGAGCACAAGCCAAATATCGGTGCTGTGGTATAAGATTTCGTGTTCGCAGTGTGAGCAGCTAGATGACCGCAACCCCTCTTTCCGCACATGTCAGTCACTCACTCTTGCAAAGACTTCTCGCTACCCGGAGGAGCACCGTACGGGTTGTCGATGTTGAGAGTAAGGACAAGAAGCTGCAGCGTACCTGTGAAGAGTAGATGGGCGAATGGGCCCACGCACCACATTTGAGGGGATGAGCACCCATCTGGCTGGCCTGACTCCGCGCAACATCTGCCTCACCAGTGGCAAGCGGAACCACTTCCTTCTCGAATCTTTGCTCTGCGCTGACGCCGGGCAGTTCCAATAAGCAGACGCCCCGGGTACCTTGATCGTTGCTGCTTGAGGCACCTCCTGCTAGGCCGGATTGCGATGCAGCTGCTTTTGACATGGTGTCAGCGATCTTTGAGGGTGGAAGCAGATGAGCTGAAGAACGCTGCTATCTCGGGTGACAATGGAAGAGAGGAGCAAACGTAGGAAGACTCGGTGCGCCTCTGCTTGTCATTCGTGATTCGTGATTGAGAGACACCCGTTCCATGCAGTCGTCAGTGAGCGATTCGCAATCACGAATTGTTCCTTAATTCTGATGATGCTTTACCGCCACCGCCACCGCCACCTCTGGCTCGCATCACACAGTCATACACACACCCGCGCAACGCGTGACTGACTGGTCACCACATCCTTCTGCATGGCAACGCGGGACCCTACAAGCGCGGCCCATGGCAGCATCTATTTTCGAAGAAGCGATCTGCCGCGGTCATGCAAAGATCGCAATTTGGATCGATGAGCGAGGTCTGCCTTGATCCGCGTAAAACCACGTAAAGCATCAGTTACAATCTGCCCTGCAATTCTCCGATGACAACCCGATCGTGAACCTATAAACGGCAATTTCTCGCCCGTGGTATACTCACACTGTACAACACCACGAATTGCGGTGCGGTGGGTGGTCAATGCATGAGGCGGTGCATGCGCTCATTCACGATTGCAGCACCATGCCAAGGAAGTTGTGAGTCGCTTTCAGCTGATACAGCCTGTGCACAAACGCCCTGACGGCTGAGCGATCGATGCGGGGCGGGGCTACGTGCAGCCTGCTGGGCCCTCGAGATGACGACACAGCATAGCGATCGACTATCACGTGACGCTCATCCAACACTTTTGACTCTAGACTCACGACTTGTTCGATTTTGATTCTGATTCAAATTCAAATTCCTCGAATTAGAGACACGCAAGAGGACATCAGGTCCACGCGTGCAATTAACGTCTGACGACTTCAACCTAGCGACGCCGTTGATTCCTCTAGCCGCCATCTGTCTATCTGCCACTCGACTCTCGTCTTCTCTAGAATGCCATGGGATCAGCAACGCCATGACACTCAAGCGACAAGGCGCCTGAATCGACCCATGTCTGGATGAGCCGAGACTCTTTGAGGCAACGCGATGCTGCAAAGCGACAAAAACACCTCTGGGCGCTCCTTATCTCTGGCTCTGCCTCGTGCAAAATTTGCACAGCTTTGGCCACAGCTTTAATCTCTACGCATCATCTTCCGTTTGCGTTGAGCTTCATACTCACTAACCATCATGCCATTTGCAGTCCCCGTCGTTGACATTGGGCCGTACGTGCAGCAAGACGGTACGCCGGAACAGCGAGCCATCGTTGCGGCTGCAATCGACGAAGCGTGCCGAACTTTTGGGTTCATCCAAGTCATCGGCCACGGTGTGCCCACTGCGCTGACCAATGGTCTGGCCGAGGCCATCGACGAGTTCTTTCGCCTGGATCTGGAAGTCAAAAAGGCATATCGCACACCTCCCGAAGTCAACCGTGGCTACACGGCTCCAAAGTCCGAATCGCTCTCGCTCTCGCTAGGCTACGAGTCTTCAAGTCGTATGAAGGACTTTTTTGAAGCTTTCAATGTCGGCCTTGCCAAGAGCGACTTTCCAAATCTCCCTGTCGATTCGAAACATTACCCGGAGAATGTATGGCCGTCCACTGAGCATGCGCCAACGTTCAAGCACCGCGTCCAGTCCTACTTCGTAGAGGCAGGTCGCGTCGCCCGTACAATGACACGCACCTTTGCCGACGCACTCAGCCTTCCACCAGACTTTTTTGAAGCGCACACCGACCATTCCATAGACGTGCTGCGCATGAACATCATGCCTTGCCCAAAGGCACTGAGGTGCGCCTCGACGGCAAAGATGACCTGATGGGCATGGGAGCACACACCGATTTCGGCATAGTCACCGTCTTGTGGGCGGACCAAGTACGCGGTCTGCAAGTCCTAGATGCCCAAGGCAGCTGGCACGACGTGTCGCCCATGGAAGGTGCCCTGCTTATCAATTTGGGCGATCTTACGGCACGATGGACAAACGAGCGATGGACCAGCACTTTGCATCGTGTCAAACCACCCATTTTGGAAAATGGCACCGTCGAGCGTAGACGAAGCGCGGCCTACTTTCACGATGGAAACGCCGAAGCGCTCATTACCACCATTCCCAGCACCATTGCTGAAGGCCAAGCACCGCTGTATGACCCAATCACAGTTGGGGATCATATCGCCGCAAAGCTGGGCGGCTCTCGAGCTGGTCGAAGGAACGAGGCAGGTCGCGAGACTCAGCGCGTGCTCGCGGCCACTGGGTGAAGCCAAACGCGATCGAACCATCATTGCTGCGACCAGTGCATTCGGACAACAAATCCGTGCTGCAATGACCAAGATTTGAGCACTGAATCATGCGCTGTTTTCTAGATGCAATTGCGCGAGATGCAACAACGGGTAGTAGGTAGGCTTCCCGATGGTCGCGAGCACCATCTGCATCTCTTCCTGATCCGACCCACAACGAATGCCGCTTTGACTTGCTCGAATTGTTTTCATGCTTCATACATGACGAGAATGTTCTTGCGGACGTACGACCAGAGCGTGGTGATGGCAGGCTTTGGCCCTCTTGTGCGCGCGAGGTTACATGACCAACGCACTCATCAAAGGCTGATAAGAGTTCGGTCAAGGTGGTCGACACGTGCCCGATCACGAGTGACGATTGTATTCTGGACAGACTGTAGGAAAAGCTCGGCTCACATCGGATCCGCTTATTGCGTTCGTGCCAAGACGAGAAAATCGGCACAAAGTTGTCATCGCGAGGCCATGAGTGGAGGTGCTTTGCGATTCGTGATATCCACGATTTCGGCGGCCCACGACCTTCATCAGTCAGTCACAGTGATTCGCAGCGTGTCGACCGGTCATTTGAAAGCGACCAGGCGTCTGCGCAGACACACCGCTCTGCGAGCATCAACAAGGCAGAGCACGCTGACGTCACGGCGTCTGTGTAGGAATCCTGTAGATGCGAGGCTGCATGCAGTCGTAAGTAGCCAGGCGGTGGTCTTGTCGCAGTTGTCTGCACCGGACCCCTTCTCCTGCAGCACCTTGCAGACTTTCGCGCTAAAATCCGTTTGCGTTGCCCAACAGAAGCCGCGCCCGACTCAGCACAGACTGTCCTCGAGCTCATCTCTGGCTTCACATTATTACGCTAGCGATTTTTTCCGAGCATCGAAGCCGCCTGCGTCACTCATGGCTTTTCCTTTTCAGACCTGCGGGCCGTTGAGCTAGCGAGAGCAACATCCAGATGGCTGTTGCTGCTTCGACGGAGTCACAGCAGCTGCATGCATGGGTGCGTCGTGATTTGCGTGTACAGTACCGTAAAACCGCATAAATCGATCACACCCCGATCCCAGAGTCGGTGAGTAGGCAGTAGGCGGCGAGGCGAGCGATCGCTAGGCAACTCTGAAAGCCACACGTTGAGAGCTGTGGCAGCTGCGCTCGCCTATGCTTTGGCTTGGCCCTTGGCCCTTGGCCTGCCCGGCGCAGTATAAGCGGAGGCGTGACGCCCGGCAACACCGCTTGAATGCTTCGCTAATTGAATCCTGAATGGCCTTGCTCGCACTCAGTCAGAACAGCTAGGCATGTGCAAGAGACTTGCTGATACTCGCTTGGGGACTGCGGATGGTGAGCCCACGGATGCGTTCGGACATTGAGCCGAGCGTCGATGCGCATCAACCGAGTGTGAAGAGCGAAGGGCAGCGCGGTGAAGTCATCGCGGAAAATGGATCATTGCTGCGATCAGAATCAGTGGAGTGAATCAAATTACGAATCACGAATGTGAATGAGACCCCGCTTGCTGAGCAGCATCGCGTGCGGATGCGGCCGGCAAGAGGCGCGAGGCGATGCACAATTAAGCGGGCGGCACAGCATCGGCGAGACAGCAGGGAAAGCGTCGAGACAGCAGCCGGGCTGTGCTGTTGCTGCGTCTCTAGCCTCGATAGCCTCTTGCCTTCCTGCTGCCCAGCTGCTGCCTGCTTGTCGCTTGAGCCCTTCGTTTGCCAACTCTGAGCTACAGCGGGCCTACACTTTGACTCTGACTCATGCATCACAATGACGATGTCGGAGTCCCCCGCTGCACTCGGACTGCCTCAGCTAGGCGGAGAAAGGTCCACGCTCTCGGCTCTTCTTGTATAAAGCCAAGGTAGCACCCTCACGCGCACTCTCCTCTTTCTCTCTCCCTTAGCCTTGCACCTCGTCGCGCCGTACTCCCGCCTCCACGCCAATACCACAACTCTTCTCCCTCCCTCTCTCTCTACTGAGAGCAATCTCTGACCCACCTTTTGCTTTCTACTTTTGAGCCCGCGCACAAAATGGCTGGTCGTGGTTTCTGCGTCGGTATCGGTGAGTAGTCGCGCCGAGTAAGCCACGCGCCTCGGTACGTTCATGTCGCAGGGGGAGCAGGAGCGGGGCGTTGGTCGCGCCTGCTCGCTTGGTCTGCGCACGTCGCCTGCGCATCTCGCATCAGCATCACGACAGGACAAAGAGGGGGCGTAGCCATGTTTGGCTAGCATCCACCACTTTACGCATAGTAGATGGATTCCTTTCAGCCATGCGCAGTACTCTGTCCAGTATACTCTACTGAAAGGTAGCCATGGCATCCCCTGTCTCGCTCGTGCTTTCCCTCTCTCCGCCTGCTAGGCGGGCGCATCATACTTCGGGGCTCGTGGCCGATGTGTGCTCGATCATGCTCTCTGACGCTTTGATGATCACTTCATGGGGTGCAGGCGAAATCCTGGCATTCGCTGCTCTGGTCTTGACCATCCTGTGAGTCACATGAGATCGTTCCACTTGCGCGAATGCCACATATCACTTAAACGCTGGCCCTTCTGCTTGCACTGCGCAGTGTCAACATTGGACAAATCTCTCAGAACATCGTCTCTCGCAACATCTACTACGCCGAGCTTGACCTCACAAACTTCGAAGCTACTCTCCGAGCCCAGGCGGGTTCTGCTGGAGGTGTCTCTGGCGTGTACGCGAGCGATCAATCGTCTCCTCTTGGCCAGAGCCAGGGTCTGCGCAACACCTATCAGTGGGGTCTTTACAACTACTGCGGAGGCCAGAACGAGGACCAGAACCGAGCCTGTGTGGACAGCAGTTTCGGATCGGGACGCTTCCAGCCAGCAGAGACTATGTCAGTGTAGATGACCTTGTGCTTGGGGCATATCACGAGGCAAGCTTTGACGTGACGTTCCACGCCCCTCCATCACAGTTACGCCGACCTGCCCACCGAGTACCAAAGCCTTTTCAACCAGACCGTCAGCCAAGGCACATTTGCGGACAGCAGCTACCTTGGACGTTTCTCACACGCGGCCTTCTACCTCGTGTTTGTCGGCACCGTGCTAGCAGGCGTGACCTTCTTGGTCGTCTTTCTGGCGCACCGCTTCGCGTTCCTTTGCGCGGCGCTTACAGCTCTGGCTGGAGCGGCGTGCATCGGTGCAGGCGCTGCCATCTACACCGCCATCCTTGTCAAGGCGCGCGACTCGATCGAGAACCTTGGCGGAGCAGAGCTCACCCTCAACAACGCTCTTTGGATGCTATGGGCAGCGTTTGGCTCTCTTGCACTTGCCATCGTGCCCTTGATCCTCTCTTGCTGCTTCGGACGCAACAAGTACTAGACTACTGAGTCTCATCGCGACGATCAGCAAGTTTCCGACCAGAGCTTGCTCAAAAGCGGATCGCAGAGCCTCGGCCACGTCCCGATACCCCTGCAGGTGGTGACACAGAGAATACTTTGGTCGCTCCTGCACAGCCCAGCACTCGCATTGCAGAGTTTGGTTCCCTTCCGACGCCCACTTTGCACAGACATCACATCGACACGAACCGAAAATTCACCACACTTCTGCACTTTGAGCTGTTCACTTTATGATGAGGAGTTGCTGAGAATGTCAGAAACACGTACCGCATTTCGCGCAAGTAGATGCGATCCGAAGAAGATTCTCCTTTCGAGAATGCTTGATCTACGAGCTACTTGACCCCATTTATCCTTCGCCTTGTGTGCATAAACTTTGATTTCCCGTCTCACTCCGCTGGCCTTCGCGGTCATGTACCCATACGAATTAATTGCAATACCGATCAAATCAGCTCTTGCTCTTCGACGTGTGTCAGTGGCAATAGAATGCGCAGGTGGGCCTCTCCCGTCGTTGTGCCACCTATCGATGACCGGTCACAGTGCGAGGCAGGACGATGGTCGACCATGACCCGACTTTTGCCAGCTAGAGTCCCGCTTTAGGAAATTGTGTGGTGCATGGACGAAGTTCGAAGCTGAAGGTCTGCTGCTTTGAGTTCCGTCTGAGTGACCTCGAATCAAATCACGAATGGTGACTCTGGGACCACTGTCGAGTAGGGTGCTCAAAAAGTCACCAGTCGTGAGTCGTACGTACACCACCAGCAGCACGACTCTGACTCCATCAATTGCGAGCGCCTCTCGAAGCATTCGCGTGATCGCGCTACCCTAAACTCGTGACCCATCGATGTTGTTTATGTGACCCACAATCTGTGGGCAGCAATTGGTGGAGCGGCAAGCCGCGGAAAGGTTGCTGACATCCACGACTCTGACTGTACGGCCAACAGGGCTGCTGATGAGTAATGCGAGGCGCGTACGACGCGCTCACGTACTGTATCTGCAGCAAGAACACGGAGATAACAGCGTTCGACCGCCCCTTCTCAAAAGCAGCTTGGAAACGAGGACCCTGTGATATGTGCAGTAGTGGGAGAGTAGCGGTGGATGGTTACTGGTGAGGGCCTGTACGTGCAGCTGCTTGCTGGCTTCCAGTCGGCCTCGCCTACCTTTCTAGGTGGCCCCATCCTTCATGAGATGGTTGCGCGAATCCTTCTTCGCCCCACCAACCAAGCACTGCTCCGTAATCTTGAGTGGCCACTCTGCAGCGACTTCCAGGGCCCACTCTCAACCCAGCGCCATGCCGCAGTCAGATCCGATTCAGCCCCAACGAGGGGAGAGGCAGCCTTTGCTGTCAGACACCAATGACGGGACAGAAGCGCCAGATCCGTCGTATGGACCATCTGAGCCTCAATCGAGAGCACCGGTTATAGATGATCATCTGGCTTGGTTGGCCGGCATTCCGTGGTACAGACGACCAGCTGCAGCTTGGTTGCTGCCCGTCGTGCTCATCCTCGCCACTGCTGGTGGACTGTGCATGGCACCGAAGCAAGAGATTTTGACGCAATTGGTGTGCCACGAGCTCGGTCTGGATGGCAGAGGTGACATGAGTCCCTCGCCTAATGTCTTGCAGCATCTCTCGCTCGTGGAACTTGTCAGTACCGCACCCCTCAACAGCCCTGCTCACTGCAGAACAATTCCAGCAGTGCAGTCGGGCCTCTCTGCGTTGCAGCTAAGGATGGATCTTGCGATGGGCATCGCAGCAGTCATCACCACTGGCTTTTGGGGCTCGCTATCAGATCGATTCGGCAGAACACTTGTCTTGCGCCTTGGCGTCCTTGGTTTCCTCGCCAGCGACCTCTGCTTCATTTCGGTGGCACGATTACCGTTGGAGCAAGTACCGCTGGGCAGCAACTTTTTGGTCGTCGGTGCATTGGTGTTTGGAATCTTTGGCGGATTTGCGACGCTAGCTGCTGCTTGCCAGGCCTACATTGCCGACACTACGCCATCCGGCTCCAAGAGTCGCGCTCTGAGCGTGTTTGGTGGGCTGATGTTCCTCGGCTTCGGCCTTGGCCCACTGCTGGGTGGCAATATCAGCACGCACTCCAATAACCTCGTGCTGCCTTTCTACGTCGCTCTCTGCGCCCACGTCCTGTACGCTCTTCTCGCCTTTGCTGTGCTGCCAGAAAGTGTGAGCAAGGCGCGGATGGAGCTTGCTCAGAAGGAGTTCCGCAGACTTGTCGAACAAGCTGAGGCAGACGAAGGCCGGGCAGGCGCCGATGATCGATACGTCGCGAATCAGACGACACGAGCGTGCGGTCCGCTGGGAGGTGCGCGCCGCCGCCTGAACCGCGTCGTTGCAACAGCAATACCGATCTTCTTGATGCCATTCCAGCCACTGGCACTCCTGGCGCCCAAGATGCGCTTCGTCCTCGACGAGCCTCCGCGCACGGAATGGACCCCACGCGAGTCTCGTCTTCATCCGGAAGCTTCCGCGTCGCACATTTCGGTCTCGAGGATACGCCAAAGCAAAAGAGATTGGAACCTCACCTTGCTTTCCGCGGGCTACTTCTTGGAGGCGAGCGTCATCGGCATTCTGAGCCCAAAGATTTCGTACGCGCAGTATCGATTTGATTGGGGACCTGCCCAGCTCGGCGCATACATCAGCTTTGGAGCCATTTGCCGCGTCGTTGCTCTCATCGCCATCATTCCTCTGTTAATCAAGTTGGTGCATCGCCCTAAGCGCTCCATCGCCCTGCCCCACGATCACATCAATGCGGTCCAAGTGCTAGACGCTGAAGGCCGCATTGTGGATGTGCAAGATGAGAGGGACAGTGACCGCGCTGTTGGCGATGATGCAGCAGCCGAAGATCGCTACGCCGACTTGCCGGCCAACTTTGCCGAGGCTACGGGGATGGGCACCGCAGAACCTCAGCTCGGTGCTCACGGCGCGGGCGCAACTGGATCTGGCGCATCCCACTCAGTGGAAGACCTTTGGCTTTTGCGTGCCAAGCACATTCGCCTGCTGCACGACTCGCGCTTCGATCGTCGGCTCGCACTCTTCAGCATCTGCTTGTATCTTGCTGGGTACGTCGGAATCGTCTTTACAGCTGGCCAAGGCCCGATCCCATTCCTCATCAGCAACGCAGTCACCAGTCTTGGTGGCGCGGCTCCCGCTGCGATGAGCTCTCTAGCGCTCGCACTGCTCGAGCGGGAGACGGATTCCGGCAAGCTCTTCGCAGCGTGGGCAGTGCTGAGTGCGATTGCCACCACCGTCGTTGGTCCGACTGTCTTCATCAGCGTATACGAGAGGACGACCAATACGTATCCGGAAGCCATGTTCGTGTTGGCTATGGGTGAGTGAAAGGAAGCTTGCTTGACTTCTAGCAGCGCTGTTCCGCTGTGGACTCACACATGCCAAACATCGCTCCTCGCACAAGGCGTCTTCACCGTCGCTTTTGTATTTGTGGCTCTCGTGCGACTTCGAAGATCGCACTCCTTGCCCTCGCTGCCTGCCAGGCCTCACACCCCAGCCTCTCGAGCAGCGGCTCTGGCCGCCAAGCGCAAGAGTGTCGAAAGTCTGAACGCGAACGCACAGGACGGCGCTCAGTATGGCTCTACACGAAGCGCGAGCTCCAGCGAAGCAGGCAACACCTCTACCAGGAGCAAGTGGCGCATGAGGCCTTTAAGTCCTTGGCAGGCCCGCAATGACGATGCCGAGAGATAGCGGCTGCTCTTGTGCGTGGCATACTATACATATCGACTGCTACTATACATATCGACTGCTATCATACATATCGATTGCGAATCTACACATCGACGACTGCTACCATACACATCGACTGCCCCTTTCGCTCCATCAACTTGAGGACCGTCGAGCTGGATTGCTGATGGGCAGCAGCAATCCCGAAGCGCTGCTCTGCTTAGCCTTCTCCGTCATACACTCATCCGCACGCTGCATCTCTGCCCGTACACCATCTCGGAGCCCACTTCCCTATGGGCGTTCTTGCTTCGTCTCGTATGTAGCGGCCTCTTTTCCCTCAGGGATCGTAGATTGCACATCCACCATCCGATTTGCAATCTGCCAGCATTGAGCCAGCCTCGTCTCGATAGCCAGAGTGACATTTGTGATTGAATCCTTTTCGCGACCACCAGGCCCGACTCTGCGAAGACTCACATACTGGTGTGACGCGGCGAGTGACTGTGAATTGCAAACAGTCGTGAGTCAAAGTGTCCACGATGCTGTAGGTGAGCCTTGATCGGCGCAAGCGGTGTGGAGGCGGTGGGGCGATGGAGCCGTGTGGTCGCAGCCAGGACCCCTCCACATGCTGTTGTGGGCAGCCTGTGAGTGAGGCGTGACGCGTGCATGGTGTGCGGTGTGCGGTGTGCGGTGTGCGGTGTGCGGTGTGCGGGCCCGCAGTTTCAAATCAAGTGTCCCACCAATCCCTGAATCCTCCGCCGGCCGGCAAATCGGACATGAAACGGTCCGCCTGCGGTCTGAGTGCGCATCATTGGTGGGGTACCCAGCTCCTGGACATTCGCATTGGCTGCTCATCCTCCCACCCACGACTGTGACTGACGGCGACGCCCAATCGCAATCACCTATATCACTCACCATCCGCGCACGTCAAAGAGGCTTCATGCAACACTCACACTGAAACGACAAGGTCCCCTTTTTGCCTCCTTGCACTCCTCATCACCCGTGCTTCGCCATGTCTATTCCGTAAGTCACGAGGGCATCAAAGTGCCACAGGGGCTCGCGAATGCGCTTTGTTGTTGATTCGTATTGGCCTGCCACCACAGCACCTCACAAAAGGTATTGCGCCTAGAGAAGCCTAATGGTCAGCAAAAGGGACAAAGGAACCTCGCGGCTGTGCGTGAAGCGCCAGTGCCAGATGCCAAGGATGGGCAGGTACTGGTCCAGATTCACGCTGCTGGCTTCAACAGGAGAGACGAGTGGGCGATGCTGGGCGCTTATCCTGGCTTGACCTACAAGGACTCTACCTTGGGGTGCGATGGAGCGGGAGTCATCGTCCGGGGAGATGCAGCTTCGAAGCCCACCCATCCTCGAGGTCTTGTGCTGCTAGTACCCACTCGTGGCTGGGCCTCCGATAGAGCTGGTCCGGAGGCTGAGTTGCCGAACAGCACAGCGAGCAAAGAGGTGAACGACCTGGGAGGCAAAGGCTTTGGCTTGCTTGGCGCTACCAAACCGACTTCGGGAGCAGGAACGTTTGCGGAGTACATTCAGGTTGGTAAAGATCAGGTTGCAGATGCACCCCGCCATCTCGATGCGGTGCAGGCGGCATGCTTGCCCTGCGGTGGAGTGACTGCATACAGGTGAGTGGAGAGGAGCGCGTTTGTAGGGCATGGGCGGGGGATCGGAAGCAGTCCTGATGTCCTGATGTCCTGATGTGCGATTTCATGACCTCTGCTGGCGCCTTGCCTCCCATCAGAGCCCTCTTCAGCAAAGGTCAGCTGCAAAGCGGTCAGAATCTGCTGGTCACGGGAATCGGTGGAGGCGTGGCTCTACTGGCTTTGCAGCTCGCCGTCGCTGCTGGTGCCAACGTGTATGTGACGGGTGGAAGCGATGCAAAAATTGCTCGAGCAAAGGAGCTCGGCGCCAAAGGCGGCGCGATTTACAAGGATGCCAAGTGGCCGGAGCAGATCCGGAAATTGCTGGCGGAGCACAGCAAGGACAGACCCTATTTGGACGTGGTGCTGGACAGTGCGGGTGGTGAGATACCGGCCCAGGCGGCTAAATCTGGCATCAAAAATGGAGGGAAGATTGTGTGTTTTGGAATGACGGCGGTCCCTAAGATGACGTTCACGATGCGTGAAGTGCTGAGGAACGTCGACGTCCTGGGTGAGTTTGCCAGAAAGGCCTCGGAGCGTCTGCATGCTGAGCTGGGTATGCTTCGCCCTGCAAACCAAACAGGTTCGACGATGGGAAGCGCAGCAGAGTTCCGCGATATGCTCAGTTTCGTCGAGAACCACAAAATTGTGCCCATCGTTGACACGGTTCTGCAAGGCTTGGATGAAGCTAAGAAAGGCTTTGTGAGTCAGGGCTTGATTCAGCAACCTACTGCCCCCCTTTTTGCTGACTAGATCCCTCCATGGCATCACCTATGCTTCAGCCTCTGCTGGCTGACGCTGACAAGAGGAGCGGTGGCAAGGTGGTCGTGTCGCTGGTGTCGAATCAATCGAAGCTTTGAGCACCGCACGAACATCATTTCTCCATTTCCTGCCTCGGCGACTCGGCCCGATCATCTTGCTACCTGTGCTCGAGGCCTCACACTTCGCATAATGCTGCTACGTTTGAATGCTCGAGCTCACAGCAGCACGTCGCGTCTATGCCGAGTCTCCTGATTGGGGTCAAGCGTACTTCCACGGCGTTCATTCACATTCTCCATCCGATCTGGTTTGCTTCTCATTTATGCAACGCTTTTGGTTCAGCAGGCCATGGAGGCAGGGCTCGAGCGAGCTTGAAGTCACAGTCATGAGTGGTTTGACGAGTCTTGATTGCTGTGTGCCGTGCTGTAAGATATCAAACGCCCGGCCGTGCTTCTGCAGCTGCCGCGCATTTTGATTGTGCAGTGCTCGTTCTTCAAGCAGCGCGCGCGTGCGGTGTTGCTCTTGTCGCGCGCCGGGGTTACCGCGCGGTCACGTGACCTGCATGCGACGCGGCGGGCGGCCCGCGGTATACGTTTAGGAACCAACATCAGCAGCGGCAGATTTGGGGGGAGAAGGCGAGAAGCAGCAGCAGCAGGCCAGAGGGAAGAGAAAAACACGCCCGCGCGCGTCGCCCTTGAGACTGCGCAGTCCACACGACCAAGCATCCTATAGCTGCTGCTGCGTGCTGCATGCTGCTGCTGGGTTGCATGTCAAACGTCTAACTCACGACTGTTGTACGTGCAGTCATCGACCGCGGTGCAGACAGCAGACAAGAGACGTGTGCATGGAAAAGTGAGAGAGGCCGGGCTGCCAAGCGAAGAGGAGACAGGACCAAGTAAGAGGCCTCGCTATGCTCACGACTCTTGACTCTCACAGCATCCGCTGATGTGTTTTGACTCACTTCGAACTCGCTCAACTGGCATCTCAAATACTTGATCTCAAACTTTGCCAGCCAGCTACCGACTCTTTTCATTCGATCCGAGAAGCGTCTTATAAGCACTCGTACCTCGCTGCATCCCAACACGTCTGCCTCGCCCCTCCAAGCCATGTCAGAGGCCGTTGCGGACGAGTCGAAAATCTTTAGGCTGAAGGGAGAGACGCAGCTAAAGCTGAGCACTGCCGAGGATGCTGCCCCTTACGTTGCTCAGATCGAGGCCATCGACGATCTGCAAGAAGTTCATTTCGGAGGCAACTCGCTCGGCACTGCAGCTTGCGTGGCTTTCGCAGAGGCCTTGAAGAAGAAGACGACGCTGAGGGTGAGCATCGAGGCGCGACGTGGTGTTTCATACTGGAACATGAGATCTGCACACCTGCTGATGAGCGCCGTCGCCCCTGCAGGTCGCGGACTTCGCCGACATCTTCACAGGTCGATTGATCGACGAGATTCCCGACGCACTTCGAGCTCTGTGCAATGCGCTGCTTCACCACGAACATCTGGACGAGCTTGACTTGTCCGACAACGCGTTTGGTGGCAGAAGCGCAGAGCCAATGGTAGAGCTGCTCAGCAATAACCACTCCATCAAAGTACTCAAGCTGAACAACAATGGCCTGGGCATCGATGGAGGTTGTATCGTATCGGGCGCTTTGACGGTTGCAGCCAAGAAGCTCGCAGACTCTGGCACACAATCACAGTTGCACACTGTCATTTGCGGAAGAAACCGCTTAGAGAATGGGTCGGCGCCGCAATGGGCGGAGGCCTTTGCTGCTCACAAGACGCTCAGAGTGGTGCGCATGTACCAGAACGGTATCCGCATGGAAGGCATCCAGGCCATCGTAGCTGGACTGCGAGAATGCAAAGACTTGGAATGGCTGGATCTCTGTGATAACACCGCCACCCTGAAGGGATCAATAGCCATCGCTACCAGCCTGCCAAGCTGGCCAAAATTGCAAACCCTTGACCTGACCGACTGCCTGTTGCGTCCCCGAGGCGGTGTTTTGGTCGCCAATGCCCTTGCCAAGGGTCACAACACAGAGCTCAAGAAGCTTCAGTTGGGATTCTGCGAGCTGGACAGCAAAGCCCTTAGCGCGCTGGCAAAGGCTATCACCCTCCAACTTTCAAACCTCACCGAGCTCGAAATCAACGGCAACTTTGCTGACGAAGAGGACGACTGCATCGAGGCCATCAAATCAGCTCTGGAGGAGCACGGGCATCTGAATGGCCTCGATGATTTAGATGATCTGTAAGTGGGTGAGCAGGATGGCTACATGCCGGTGTACTAGCTTACATTTCCATCTGCATGCTATGATTCGCAGTGATCCCGAAGGCGAGATCGACGACTCCGAAGATGAGGCTAGCGACGAGGAGAGCGGCGAAACTGAGGAAGAAGAGACAGGGGCAGTGGCAGCCGGCGTGCCCACAGCAGATCAAGATACGGTGAGCAGACGCAAAGTGCTACTGCGCGCCTGCCCAGCCATGCCTGACACGGTCGTAACGTTTACTGCAGAGCAAGGTCCCCAGCATCACCAACGATCCCGCCAAGGCCGCTGCGGCTGCCGTCGCCGCACCTGCTGCAACCGCTGCCGTGGCTGGAACAGGTATCGCCCGAGCGGTCGACAATCTGGTACGCCCCGCAGAAGAAGAAACTTCTGAATCGCCCGAGCAGCCAAAAGGCGGAGAGGCTGAGCAGTCCACCGCCGCTTTCGAGCCAATCACTGACGCAACGCAGCCTGAAAGCACAGCAACAGTTCAGGACGTTCAGAAACCGGAAGCCGAGCCCTCGTCAAGTGCTGCAGATCCGCAAGTTCCAGCGCTCGTAGCTGTTGCCGAGCCGGAAGCTCAAGACCAGGCCGAGACCATAGAAGAGGCAGCAGAGGCAAAGGGTCCTCAGACCGCTTTGCACGTAGCGCAGCAGGATCAAGCTTCACAATCAGAAGACGCTGGCCCCACCCAAACCACCGAATCTCAAGCGAATGAAGTGTCTGAAAAACTTGCTACCCTGGAGCTAGGTGACGCAAGCGCTGCGTCGACCGAAGCCGAGCCACAGCACATCTCGCAAGGACTTGCGCAGGACGTCGAAGACCCAGCCGAGGCAGCTGCAACCACACAGACGGCCTCTGAGGACGCTGAGGCAGTCGGAGACGCACCAAAATCTGGTATTGCCGTGGACACTGCGGCCGAGGTGGCTGAGACTGTCGAAGCAGCGCCTCAGGGCAAAGTTGCAGCTGAGACTGTCGCGCAGGTTGCCGAGGCTGCAGATGAAGCGCCAGAGCCGCAAGTGGCTGCGGAGACAGCTGCTGAGGTCGCTGAGGCTGCAGATGAAGCGCCAGAGCCACAAGTGGCTGCGGACACAGCTGCCGAGGTTGCTGAGGCTGCAGATGAAGCGCCAGAGCCACAAGTGGCTGCGGAGACAGCTGCCGAGGTAGCTGAGAGCGCACAGGAAGTTCCTGAGTCCAAAGTGGCTGCGGAAAACGCTTCTGAAGTCGCAGATTCGGCTCAGGACGCCTTGCAACCGGCGCGAGAAGAAGCAATTGCTTCGGTCACTGCTGATACATCCAACGACGCCGCCATCAGCTCACAGGAAGCACACAAGCCTCAATCGGACGATGTCGGTGTCACAGCTGCCAAGGTCGCAGCTCTCTCCCTTGGCGCCGTTGGTGCTACGCAGGCTGCCTCTTCATTGGCAGAACACGCAGAATCGCAGTCTACCGAGCTTGAGAACGCGAGTGAGGCAGAGGCTCCAGTCATTGCGGCTTCTGGACAGGCTCGAGGCAATCAGCGAAGACTCTCAGGAGGACAGGACCTGCCAACGGGAGACATTGTCCCTTCATCGCAACAAGGAGTAGCTGCTGCGGCCACTCTGAACTCTGCGTCACACGCAGAGGTCGCTTCTCAGGTCGCAGAGCAAAGTGCCGAGCCTACGCATGCTGCTGATGATGCCCAGGCCGAAGAGGCATCCACAGCTCGAGATGAAGACAGAGCTGTGCTGGCGACGGCAGCGGAACCAATCACGATTGTAGCTCCTCCTATCAAGGCGACCGCGGAGCGAGACGGGGGGTCTAGCCTTTCGCCTTCTGTCAGCGCTGCGATCACTGCGGCCGCCACGGCAAATGCTGCAGTGAGCCCACCAGCGGCACGCACGGCAGATCTAGCAGCGGAGAGTTCCACAGCCCCCGTCGCTCTGGAGGCGCCTTCCTCCTCGGCACCCAGCATCGATGTCACCACGGCAGCCGACGAGGCACCCTCCTCGCCCGCAATGCCCGTACCCGTCGCAGCCACCAGCGGGGCGTTTGGTGCTGGCATCGGCGGAGCAGCCAACGTGTACTCGCAGCTAAATGGAGAGGGCTCTGGAGCGACAGCAAGCGCTGATCTTTCGGTCGAAGCCTCGCCCGCACTCACACCTGTCTCTGATGTTGGTCAACTCGAATTGAGGCAAGAGAGGGCACAAGAATCGCTCGGCAAGCAGGGAGGACACGCAAAGTGAGTGCATCCACTGGACAACTCCCAACCATCTCTGCTCGCGATGTGTGTTTTCGGATTCTAACCCTTGCTCCTCCACATTCTTTGAGGAAATCATCTGTCGACCTGAGTGGAGAATTGTTCACAGGCTCAGACTACAACGCGCAAGCTAAAGGCACCTCATCGAGCGCCAGCGGTGCGAACCAGTCTGCGGATGCAGCCGCTCCCCGCAAGAGCCGTTTCAGAGCTGCCATGGGCGCGATTCGCGAACTGCTACGCTAGACAACTCGACACGCCCAAGCGATCCTCGGATAGCCGACTGGCTTAAACTCGCGCGGGATATAGACAAGCACAGGCGCAGATTCACACCCATTTCCCCCTTTGACGACCCTATACGATATCTATACGCCTGCGTAATCATATCAAAGAATTTTGAGAGATCACGAATGGCCACGGTACGCAGTCACGTCTGTGCCGTAGCTCAGAGTGGCCCAATTGGATGTCGCAGAAAAATTTCGCGTGTCGGCATTGCAGTCGTCAAGTAGAGGTGATGTGCGCTGCAGAGACGCGACATGCTTTTGGCAAGGTACAGACGAGCGAGACGCGAGATACGAGGTACACCTGGAGAAAGACGCGAAGCGCTAAGCACCGCCTGGTCGCTCCCCACGAGGCTGGGACCAATTGACCGACAGGATGAGATTGCTATACCTGTTTTGGGGTAAAAGATGAGAATGAGGTAGGTCAAAAGAGCTGCGCGTGATATGATGGAGACCCGGAGGTGCCTTAGCTACGCACCCTTTGCCGTCCACCTTTTGTCTGGCTTTGTCGGCATCATCTCTGCTTTCGAAGCTGACGAAGGCGTAGCCTTTGCACTCGCCAGTTTCGCGGTCTCGCTGTGAGGAGGGAGTTTGAAAGCGAATCAGCACCATACTTTGGCATTCTGTGGCCAAGGGTAGAGATATGCGACACAGCGCAGCTACTCACGCCGATGTAGACACGGATGACTCTTCCGTATCTGGAAAAAATCTCGCGCAAATCCTCCTCGTCTGCATCTTCGCTGAGATTCGTGACACGCAGTGTAGGCATGTCCTCCCTGTTCATAGGTCCGCCCATACGCTCCCCTGCACCACGGTTCGCCCCTTGACGCATAGAAGGAGGAATGTACTTGCCACCAGCGCCAGAAGTGCCTGCAGCCACAGCAGGGTTTGTGGGGTCGGCGATAGCATCCGACACTTCTGGCTCGGCGCCAGTGTCGGCTGCTCCAGGAATGGCTTCGAGGGTATCGCGGTAGGGACACTTGGAGGTGAAATGGTCTCCCTTGCAGAGACGACAGGTGATCTTCTTGGATTGCAGCTGCTTTCGCAGCGCTGCCTGCTCATCCACTTCTGGCTCGTCCTGCAGTGACACACACCAGGTGTGGTGAGCACGCAAGTACTAAAGTTCGAAACGGTGGGCGCCGAGGAAAGACGAGGCCGCTCACCTTCTTTGTGGAGCCAGCGCTAAACTTTAAAGCTACGTTCTCACCCACTGTGGTGGTGCTAGAGTGTGGACCCGCCTTTCTTCCCTTCTCTTGACCAAACTTGGCCCACGTCTTTCGCTCAGCCTCAGCAGCATTGACCTTTGTGGTGACAAGGGTGCGCCTGATGCGTCGAGTGATCTTGACTTTCTTGCCTTCTGGATTGAACTTGTATTCCACAATGACCTTGACGCCATTGCCCTCATCTCGTTCCTCCCTGGGTGGCAGACCAGGTGTCACGGGTGGGACTTGAGGTCGATCAAAACCGGACGGGACAGCACGTTGATCAGCGCCGCATCGTCTTTATCAGCCCATCGTGAATCGCATTCCGCACTCACTGGCATCGTCATCAATGTCTCCATCATCAGCCCAGTCGATGGGCTTGGGTGCGCTGCGTTGAAAAGCAGATGATTCTGTCGCCTCAGCCAAAAGGTTGGTATCTCGACGCTGAGCATTGGGGACACTTACGGGTCAGCTACTGGAGCCATCGTGTATGCGAATGCGTTCAGCGCTGGTTGGGCGGCAATGGTCGATTGCTTGTTGTTGAGATGAAACGCTAATGAGGTGGCGAGGTCAGGAAAAGTCGGTGTGCCTGACGCACTTGAGCGATTGCTGGGGACTCACGACTGCAGAGCGTGGAAGATGATGGCGACGACAACTCGAAGACTCATCAGACTCAGCATCATGCAATGCAGACTCGTGACTCAAAACTCGAGACTTTCGCAGCGCGCGACCTCGCGCCGCGGGGACCAAATTTTGTTGTCGAGATGATTCGTGCACGAGGGTACCTGTGCGCAATCCTACTCACGTGTCTGGCCCACAGCGCATGCCGTGCACGGACAGCACTCAAGACTCGCGACAAGCCGGCGGACTTCAGTCATAGGAGTCAAGTTCCACCTGCAGCCTTGAGCTAGAGTAGTGTGAGTGTGATGAGTGGTCGCGTCCGCCCTTACGGGGCATAGCACATTCCCATTCACGATTTGATCAAGTGATTCCATCTCATCATCTTCGAGTAGGCACTTTGACTTAAGTTTGAGTGTTCGCACAGCCTCGACAACGCAGCAGTCTTCGGAAGTGTCATCGCAGTACGAAAGCGACCGGAAGCACTCCACCGATAAGGGCGAACCTCTTGCGTGGCGCTCGTCAAAAAGGCCATACCTACCGTACCGCCCTCTGTCACAATGCCGACCTACTTTGATACAGTAAAAAAGGTGAGTGGTCGCACCCATTGCACAGCGCTCAGCAAGGTAGACTGACACTTTTTGGATCCTCTCGCAGTCCTACGCCGACGTTCCCATCACAGAGGAGGGAGTGGACACTTCGACGTTCCTGGAAGCGACGGATGGGCTGGTCAAGCTGTTCGACCTTCTGGGCTCTTCAGCTTTCGCCATTGTTCAGAGTGACATGAAAGGCAATGTCGGAGTGCGTAGTGATAAATGCAGCGCGAGCGGCGAGAAGACCTCACCGATATTGTTTAAATTCGTCCCTTGCCACTGCGCCCACTGTAGAAAATCAGGGATCGTCTCCTCAGCTCGCCTGGAAACTCTCACTCGCTTCAACTCCTGGTCAAGAATGAGGGAGCGCCAGGAGACAAGAACAGGACTGCTACTCAAGGGCTGATGTGGCTGCTTCGGTGAGTGAGTTGTGCTGCCGCCAAGGAAGAGAGTGAGGAGCTGCTCCAGCCAAGGAAGAGAGTACGATGTGGATGCCCCGCAGCTCGTGCCACTCTGGCTGGAAGGCTGCATGTACATGTCGCGCCCGCGATAGTCGCGCTCAACCTCCACTTCTTGACTTTTGTGCGAGAGCAGAGGACTGGACTTCACAGCTCAAGCATTGCGTCGCTCGGTGAACAACAAGGGCGAAGAATTGTCCGTGAGCTTTACGAAAGCGTACGAGAACAGCCTTAGGCAGCACCACAACTTTGTAGTCAAAGGGGCTTTCAGCGTGAGTCAGAGTCCATCACAGAGTAATGTTCTCATGTAGAGATTGCGCTCAAGACGGGTCATAAATTCCTTTCGCCTTTAGCTCGCAATGAAGGCGTGCCCCTACAGAACCGATTTCTACGCCAAGCTTGGCTCCCCGCCCGAGCACGTCGACCAGGAGTTAAGGCGATGGCTAGATGCTCTGGAACTCATTGTCAAGCAGCTGCAAGACTTCTACGTGTGAGTCGCGCCAGAGTTGGACTGGCGGCGGTGAATGGCCGCTGACCAGCTACGTACTTCGACGCGAACCTCTTGTGGTCTTCTTCAACTCGCAGTGCTGGCAACTATGGCAAGGGCTTCTAAAGGGGGCAGTGATTCACGAGTGTCCAAATCAGAATTCACATCGTATTTTCGAAGCGAAATGCAAATGCTTTGGCCGCGGAAGGAGGGAGCTCTTTGTTCTGTAGACCACATGCGCAGGCTCGGCGCAGCGTGACCACAACGTGGACCCAGCCTCTTGCCTTCGCCAAATTAGTGCTGACGAGTACATCTGATGGGCACAGTTGAGCCAATTGCTTCTTTGACGCCTAGGCTAGTCGATGTGCAGGGAAATGGCGAGACGCAATATTCACCGCCGCGCACAGGCTGTCAGGCCTCTCATGGGCCATGGGCCATGTTGAGTGAGTTTTCAAAGCTGCCGCATCGCGCTGAACAATCTGCCAGCGTCGCTTGCCCAGCAGCACTCTTCTGGGACACGATGTAGGCCGCCAGACGCATGTCTCCTGTGTCACGTTTTCTCAGTAGTGCTGGCTTCTGGCTTGCGCTCCCATCAAGTCAGACCTCAGGTTCAGCGCTCGGCGGCTTGGCTACCCGTGCAGCCATCTGCGTCCCCTAAGGCTTTTCGTTCGAGATCCTCATGGCGAGGTTCAGGCAAGTCTCTTGGTGGTGTTTCCTCTTGGCTCGCGCGAAGGATCCTTGGGATGGATGATCGACCATCTTTCCTGTTTGCGCTATGAGAAAGCGGCACCGGTATCGTGGCGCTGAAGCGGCTGTAACACAAGTCCCTTTGCCGGCTTGGCGTCCATATGCCCGGTGAGGCGATCAGTCTGCGTGGCTTGTAGCCCTCGCGCTACGGGCCTTCGAAGGAGATGACGTCCCCGATGGGTGCCGCTCGGTAAATGCTGCGCGCCTCCGCCTCATGAAGGCGAAAAGCGCAAATACAATACGAGTGGTAGATGGAGAGAGAGAGAGCCGCTTTATCCACCAATCATTCGGGTCTCGCTAGCTGGGGCCCCAAACTCCACAGACGCCTTCAATTGGCGCGGGACCGGCAGGTCTCGTCGAAAAGCTCAAGGAGCTTAACACTCAGCTACCCACACTCATGACTCTTGCAAGACTGCTTGTATTGAGCCACTCCTCTGATATGCAGCCAAGAAATATCGGGTCGACACTAAAAGCTTATGCAACGTCGTAGTGTTGAATGCAACGACAGCCCCGTCCCCCTTTATCCTAGCGTGAGTGGTCACCGGACTTTGTATGAGTGGGCCAGAGCAGCGGTGATCACCCAGCTGCGTCTCTAAGCCCGTCATACACACAGGAAACCCATTCAAATTCCATTTGCAACCACGCCCGGCCGCGATTCAGAATGCAAGACTCGTGACTTAGGACCGCAGATTGCCGTGGTGCTGTACCTTTTCAATGCATGGAGATTCGTACCTCGCCGCAGGGCATTTCCCTGATTCAAGATTCAGATTGTGATTCAAAGGCAGTCACATAATAGATAAGAGTCACTCAGTGCAAGGCAAAGTCATGAGTCACGAACCGAATGATTGAAATGAGCATCGCCGTGACTCAATGACCGTATCGGCCATTCAATTCTGGATGTCAAAAAGTGCCAAGTCTCGACTAGCGCCAAACTCTGACTGCGCCGAGAGGCGCTAGCCGCAAGCCACATGCAGAATGCAGAATGCGTGCAGCCAGCATGCATGCGACTAAGCCGCGTTACGCGCGCGCGAGGACCGCATCGGCTTCCTGATCGATGATGTGTACCGTACTTCATCACGCAGTCAAAGGGTCACGAGTGATGACGAGTGTCATCACCCGTGACTTGTGATGTGCCTGTTATATCGAGCAAGCGGGCGGTGCACCAGCTGCTTGCTGCAGATTTCATCTCCAGATCTGGGACCGAGCGCTTGCTAATCCTTGGCGTTTTGTGAAAGGAGCTGCTGCTGCACACTCATGCTCACACATGACTCACGACTGTGTAAGCTCGTCTTATGCCAACACGTTCCGGGCTGTGCTCGAATTTGTTATTCACCTCGACTGCGGGGTTTGATTCTTCAAAGCAGTTGTGCATCGTACTCGAATGTCAGTCGTGAATCAGCTACACAGCCGAGAGTACACATCTCCATCCACGCGTTCAAGATGTAATCAAGAATGATAGCGCTACGATTCGTACTCAAAATGTAGGCCCGAGACGGAGCTTGCCGGCTGAAGCCTCAATGACCGGGCGAGGGGGCAGGATGCCGCCGCGATCCATCAGACCGTCCACGCGATTTGCGCTCAGAGCGTGAACCAACTACCTCCTGCTTAGTGCGCTTGCGAGATGAACGTGGGGGTTATTCAGCATGTAAAGGAGAAGTAGAGTGCTTTCTTGGCGTTTGTTGAGCGCTCATTGCAAGGGGTATGGGCAAACAGGCTTCCGAAACAACATCAGCTTCTGGTCAAACCTCGCTGTGAGTCGATCTCGACCTGCGTGACATTCTGCATGCAAAGAGGGAGTCGTGTGAAGCATGTTGCTATAGGCGTCTGACCCTTGAGTTTGAGTATGGGTCCATTCAGACGTCGGCCCTTAGATTGCACACGTGTCGCCGCCGCCGCCGCTGCTGCTGCTGCTGCTGCTGCTGCATGGCTGCTCGTCTCCCTAGCGTATCTCCTCCCAAAACTGTCTGCATGACGCACTGCATGGTATGCGCGGCCGCTGCTGGCAGCACGGACGCGCGCATAAATGTGCCCAAATGCGGTGACTGCCAAGACTTTCAGGTAGAGCGGAGGCGAAATGAGCAACGTCAGCGAACCTTTCACGATTGTACAGTCACAGAGTCAGAGTCACGATCGACAATACAACCCTCTCTGACATCGCATCTGCATGCTTCGCTTCCGCGCCCTGCGCTCGTCCAGTCGGGGACGCTCCAGTCCGAAACATCCACAGTTCACGACTGGGACTCGCTGTGTGCCTCTCTTGACTGGCCGTCACGATCCGGCTTTGGGGAATGACACCTTATCGCTGACGTCGCCAGAGCACGGATGCCGCCGCTTCGTTTCGGTGTCCTGCGACGAGGATTCGCCTCACCGTCGGCAGATGACACCGCAATGCAGACCAAGCCTTGCTCCCCTGTCCGGCAAGCGAACGGTGACGAGCAGTGCGCATGGATAGAGGAGTGCCATCAGCGCCCACTATCGCAGCCTGTTGTTGCACCGCATGTCTGGGTCAGCAATACGCATATGACACATCACCTCATGACCGCACGAAAGATGCGGCAGCAACGCTTGCACCCGTTGTACCCTGCACTCGAGCTACGGATCCGGAACGTCTGGTGACTCCTGTAGCGTGAGCCAAGAATCACCGCGGTATGTCGGTAGCACCCTAACCGTTTCTTGGCCATAGCACGCGCTAGGGCGATGTTGAAGGGAAAGGCAACCAAACCCTTTAGCTCATCTTGCAAGAAGCCGCCGAAGATTCACTTTATGCACAACAGAGGCTACGAGTCGCTGATGCTACGACTTTCAAAGTCAACTTGCAGGTGCTTTGGATTGCTTCGCACTTTGTCGGTGTCGGTGTCAAATGACGCAGGCACCCCCCACTTGGTAACTTGCAGCAAAGTTCCTGGTACCGAGGCTGTTCCAAACGCGAAGTTTGAATACTTGGCTGCTCGTCTTGTCTGCTGCTTGTAGAAGCGTGCACGACGTGGTACGATTATGGTCCACCCACAGTCACACGAGCTTGCAGTAGCCTTCCTTGAATGAAGAGCCTCGGAGATTTGCCCCTTCGACGCCCTGCACTGATAAGCCCAACAAAACCCGACCCGACACTCCTTGTTTCCCTCCTCGCATTACCTACCAATCACTAACCCTTACCCGTCCTTCCTCGTGCGCAGCAACGTGAGCTCGCCACACTTTGGAGACACTTGCAATCGTTGGATGTCACATTCGTGATTGTGATCCTGGCCAGTCTTCGATCACAACTCAGCTCCCAACGAACGGGCACGCCATGTCACAGCCGAAAAGCGATCAAAGCCATCCTGGAATGATTGATCCCATCGACACACGCTCACCAGAGAAAGATCATGATGAACCTGTCGAAGAACTGTCTCCCGCTCGGCCGGTGAAGTCAGACTCGTCCGACAAGGACCTCAAGATAGTCAACTCGGACTTGAGCGCTCAGCCCCGCAGACACTCCAGGAGAGGCTCTGCGGCGTCACGGCGACACTCGACCGCGCTTGTTGCTTCCGAAACCTCACCTTCAGTTTGCGAGTCGTGCGGTGAAGACAAAATTCATGGTTGGAGAGATGTCGTTGAGGCTTGTAGTCTGGTGAGTGGTCCGTCATCCGCGTCGGCATCTGCTCCTGAGTTTGACCCCTTCCGCCCTTCCCGCAACAGTCATGGCACCAGCAACGCAAACATCTGTTCACCTCTTGGATTCACGTTCCCTTAGGTGTTACATTCCTTCTTGTTGTCGTCTGGGGCCTGAAGCTTGCCATCGATGTAGCACCCTTCAGATTTCCGGCTGCAGTCTTGGCCGCCTTTGGCATCTTCCTGTTACTTTTGCTCCTCGATTGGCTCTCATCAGTGTTTCCTGGTAGGAGGCAACGAGATGCAGAAGCAATGTACGAGAAGTCGGACCGACCACAGAAGAGACGCAAACGGTTCATCGACCCTGTGCTCATGCTCTTGGCGCCACCGTGCGACTTTTGCTTGCGTATCATGAGCGTCCTCTTCACTCCGTGAGCACATGCACGTCGTCCACCGCACCCCAACCTTTCTGACGCGCATATCTTTATTGCAGGTCTTTCATCCTGATCCCTGCCCGTGAGGTCATCTCGGGCGGTGAGATTGGTCGAATCATTGGATGGTTCGCTGCGACTCAAGTGCTTGCTTTCCTTTTCCCAATCTATCTCAACAAGGGCATCAACTGGGCCTTCACAATTCCCAAACAGCTTCGAGAACGTCGCGAGAAGGCTCAGTCGCCTCTGACAGACCTGCGCCGGTCCAGCACGGTCAATGGTCGACGCAGCCGTAGAGGCAGCACGATGAGTCAAAGCGGTTCTCTCGATCACAGGAGCCGCCGCGGCAGTACTGCTACGATAGCAGGTCTCGAATTCGAAAAAGGCTACGCTTACTCTGGTCAGCAACGCCTTGGCACCATTGCAAGCGGACTTGCCGGAGTCACCGCCACAATCACAGCACCGGTAGCTCACATTGACATGACGTTGGAGGATGACGAGCAAGCGTACTACAACGCCGTTGCCATCGAGCAAGCACGTCAACAAGGTGACCCTGCAGTCACTTCACCTAATCTAGCACCGTTATCCTTTGGTAGCTTCGTGCCGCACTCCGACGTGAGCTACTTTAGCCATGCTCGAATGCCAGTCGATCGCGAAGGTAGACCGCGTCACCACCATCACGCCACCTCGGCGGAGCAGCGTCGCAACAGATCCCGAAGTCGCGACGGTGCTCGCAGTCAATCTAGACCAGCTACAGCGAGAAGCTTGACCGTCTCGCCTCGCGTGCCCAGTGGAGGGGGTTCGGTCGAGTACGGTCCGCCGTCAGTCGCCACCGTACAGCGCTCTGCTACCGCGGTGGGCGCTCTCCCAGTCGCAAGCCCAGCTCCTTCAGATGCCTATCGCTTCCCGAGCACTCAATTGTCGCCGGTGCAAACCACCATTGCATTCGACCAAGATTTGCCAACAGCTGCTTCTCTCCGTGCTGCTGAGAATGGAGCGAGAGCCAAATCTAATGCTCCAGCCGTTGTAGGTGTACGGGAACCGGAGCCCGCGAAAGTAGCAGCGACGTCTTCTGCCAGCTCATCGCGCAGACCTTCGCTACTTGGCAACTTCATTGCCCCCTTGAGCATGTCGAGGAGAGAGTCCGCCACTAGCGGCCCCACCCCGGTTGCTACATCAGCTTCCAGTCAAGCTTCCGCAAAAGACCGCGCAGATCAAGCTGCCGTCGCTCCCAGCGCCTCCGCTCCTGCGCCAGAAGATCAGCCTTCCGAATACGGACCAGATGCGATCGAGCGCCTAGCGTCGTGGATCAGTGACTTGATCACTCCGATCATCTACTTCACCTTGATCATCATAGGTCTGCCTCTCTTCTTCGTCCTCAATTTCGCGCTGCCTCTGTATCTTGGCATCAATCTGCTAGCCTTCATTGGCGCCATCACGATCGTGCCGCCTAAGATCCGAAGATTCCTGCATCCCATTCTCAGTACAAGCATCGTGACCGTGCTGTTGATTTGGGCGCTTGGAGCCATGAAGGGCTTGAGCATCAAGCAGGCTCTTGCACTGTACAGCAATGGCGCTAAATACACCGTCCTCTGGGACCCCGCCGGCTACCAAGGCCCTGTGCCGGGAGCTGGTGACATCCTCTTTAGTGTTCTCGACGCAGGAATCGTAAGTCTTCAAGTATTACGGCTCTCTCGATCATTCCAGCTTGCTCACACCTTGTATACCTTCAACAGGTCTCCCTTGCCATTCCAATGTACCGCTATCGCAAGGACCTGAAGCAGAACTTTTGGCGGATGCTCATCGCCTTGACGCCATGCGCGGCCCTCTCGCTGTTCTTGTGGCCCTACATCGCCTACTTGATGGGTATGAACGAGGTTCACGCACTCGCGTTCTCAGCGCGCTTCATGTCTACTCCTCTCGCCATCGAGCTGGCGAACAACATAGGCGCAGACGAAAGCATCACCATCGTACTGGTTTGCGTGACTGGTATCATCTACGCCATCGTCAAGGAGTACGTCTTCAAATGGACCAATGTCAAGGATGACATGACCGTTGGTGTTGCCATGGGCTCAACGGCTGGTGCCATCGGTGCATCCAGCCTTATTTCAAAACCGCGCCAACTTGCTCTTGCCAGCCTGTGCTTCATCCTCTTCGGTGCCATCATGCTCATCGCAACGGCGATTCCGCCCGTCGTCGATGCAGTGAGGATGCTCGCGGCCGGCAACAACGTCATTTGAACCTTTTCTTTTGACTTGAAGTTGTCACCAACACTTCCAGTACATTCTTGGCTCCCTTTCGAACTTGGCTCACTTTGCATTTAGCATTTTACACTCAACTCCTGTAGACATACATTTATGACTCGAGCTTCCAACAATGACGGCAATGATCAGTTGACGATAGACTACCAGACGGGTGCATATGCCTTGTCTAGTCGGACTTGAGAATGCAATGACACTGTAAGGTCCGAGTCAAGAGTCGGACCACTCGAGTCAGAGTCTGTTGTTGTATGTAAGTTGATGCCCTGAGTTATAAATTTCATGGATTCAAGGTTGCAGAACAACTCACATTCTTCACGATTCGAGGTAAATGGAGTCCTTGAACAGAAGATTACGCTTCCAAGTCCCGCCATAATCAAGGACTTGAATTTAGCAATTTGAATCAAAAAATCAAGATTAACAGCAAGAGCAGCGTCTTTCTCTGCTGGTGCATGTCAGTATGTGAGCACCCCACCAAACCTGCCACGTGTTCGTGCCCGCGCGTGCTGCCGGTCGCTATTCGTGATTGGAGGAAGTTGTCGATCTACATCGCGCATGCAGCGTCCGTCCGCACTGTGATTGTGTTTGCCTCCACAAAAACTTGATGAGAGCCTCGCCGCAAACCCTTTCGTCTCCACACTGGATCGCTTCTCCGCAAAAGCAGAGGCCCCTCGTCTGACTACATTCTTTCCAGCCTGGACAGCTCGCTCCGCTCGCTCCGTTTCGGCACCAGCTTTGCTGACCTCAGGAGACACACCTGCTATCGACTTTTTCCGGATCTAGCGCAGGAGTCGCGTGAAGGCAGAAAGGATTCCCTCAAATTTGACCTGCATCCAGCTGAAAATGGCGGACCTTGGAAGTGCATCGGCTACCTTGCCAGGCAATGCGTACGCCGATGCTTTTGTTCGAGGTCAAGCCAGAGAAGGCGTGAGCCGAGTGCAGGCTCGGCTGGGCAAAGCCAGACATCTGAATGATGACCTGTGAGTGTTCTTGTGGGCTTGATCTGACGTGCGGTATTGTTCGTTGGCACTCACGACCTACCTCGCTCTCACATCTCGCACCTCGCACCTCGCACCTCGCGCAGAGCCGATTACTTTGCCGCGCGTCGAGAGGTAGAGGCAGCGTACCTCAAAGCTCTCTCGCGCATCGCCAAGCGTCCTTTCATCTCTGATCCTACTGTCCTCGGCGGATTTGCACCAGTGTATGAGAGACTTGCGCTGGAGCTAGGCGAGCTCGCTTCCGTTCATGGAGAGCTCGAAGGACGACTGGAAGAGGCAGAAGCGGTGCTTCGTACAGCATCCACGCGTGGAGAGTGGTCGAGAGTCAAGGAGGTGAGTGGGTATGGCGATGAATGATGTCCAAGTTGCGCCTTGAGGCTAAAATTTTCTCCTCGACATTGCTCACTTCACCAGCACGATGAGAGCGTATCTGCTGCCCTCAGGGAAATTGCAAGCTTAGAGTCTCAACTCGCAAAGGATCAGAAGAAAGCGGAGAGCGCTTCGTCGAAGAAGGTTGCTGCAGCCCAAAACAAAGCTAGCGAAACGGCTGCGCATTTAGCACAGGCTAACGATGCGTGGGAGACTGAAGCGCCTTTTGCTTTTGAGGCGTATCAAAGGATTGATAAGGCACGCTTAGATCTGTTGAAAGAGACCATCACCAAATGGGAGACTGTTCAAAGTGATGCTGCGACAAGGCTTATGTCGACAGCCGAAAAGACGATGCAGGCCTCTCTAAGCTTCGACACACAAGCAGAGATGACGGAGTTCATCCTTAAGCAAGGCACCAGCAAAGGCTTGCCGTCTGTACAGGGACGCCCTGATGCAACTATAAGAGCGCAACAAGGTGCCTCCCCGGTCACAAGTGCAAGTGCTCGTGGACCTGCTCCAGGTGCACCGGCCCCTAGCAATGGTCGCAATGGAGCCGCGCCCGGCCTTGCGGAATTTGGAGGCGTGGGCAGTAGCGCTGCGTCGGTACATTCAACCGGTGCCGGGGCCCCAGACTCTGCGAGTGTGGCTCAGCAACAGCCAACAGGAAGGGGTAGCACTCTCAAGTCTGCCTTGACGCGCATTGGCAGGGGTCGTTCCGGCAAAGGCGCAAACGAGATGTTGACTTCGTACGGCTCACTCCCTGAGCAGCCCGACAGTATGGGACCTCCTCAAGTACCTGCTATCTCGTCAAGTGTCTCTCAGCGCGCTCCCCGTTTGTCGCTAAGTGGCAACGACGCCCGGGAAGGTCTTCCTCCGATCGGCATGGCACCCCTCGTGCCGGCCACTAGAGGGGTGAGTGGCGATACTTAGTGACCTTCGACAACCGGTCTGATTACTAAATTGAGTTTCCATGCCAAACAGACAAGTACCGAAGCATCTCCGGCCGCACCTCAGGTGGACGCCGAGGGCTACTCTATTCCACCGCCAGACCGCAAGCCTTGGGAGCCAACCGCTGGGGCTTCGCTCATGGACGAGGACGCATCAGAAGAAATTTCAGACCTGTGAGTCACAAGCTCGCCCTCGCCTGGGTGCTCTGACTGACATCGCTCATCCCCTATCCTGCAAATGCGTCACAGTCCTCGCGTGTCTGGCATGAACATCTCAAGTAAAGCGGTCACGCCTAAGCCCGAAGACTCTGCACAGGACCAGGCCGCCCTCGAACGTGTGCGCAGCACCTTGCTCACAGCGCGGACTCCACCGACTGCCCCATCACGCCGGAATACCACCCGGAGAGACCGCAGGGACGTGCGCAACACGACCTACAATCCCAATCTCAACCTTGATGCGGGCACATCGACCGCCACGATTGGGGGACCAGTCGCGAGCCCGATCGCGGCATCGACTACAGCAAGCCGCTTTGACCCAGACCGTACTCAAAGCATCGTCTCGATGACCTCGATGTCGGGTGCTGCTGGCAGCCCTTTCGAAGCCGCCAGCGCTGGTGTGGGAGGCGCAGCGGCAGCATCAGCTCCCGGCCTTCGCGCAGCTGTGACAGAGACTGTCAACGTCATCTTCGATGGCAGGGACATACAGCGCATCATGATTGTCGGAGAGCTGAGCGTCACTCTCAAAGACATTGGGACAACTGAGCCCTTGCATCTTCGGCTCGACGCATTCGAAGAGCTCGAGAAGGCGGCACCGAATCCAGCATTTGTACAGTCAATACCCGATCGACCTGGAGAATACAGGTTGGACGTGGCTAGTCTTGTGAGCAAAGGCGGAGCCGGCGTGCTGCTCAAGTATCAGCTGCATGTGTCGGAAAGCAGGAAGAGGGACTACGTTCCTTTGGATGTGGTTGCACAGTGGCGCTGTGAGCAACACCAAACATCTCTGCTTTGCAACTACACGCCAAATACAACCAACAAGCTGCTTGCTTCTGGTATCGATGGCCTGCCAGGTGAGGTTATCGCATCTACGCTGCAGGATGTCAGCTTCGTCGCCACGATTCAGCCCTCGAACGTGGCCGGACACATGAGCAAGCCTGTCGGGACTTGGTCAGCAGAGCATAAGAGGATGTTCTGGAAGCTCGATCACACGGAGACCGCGAGTGCTGGCAAGGTACTTGCGCGATTTCAGGTGGATGCGCCCACCTCGCCCAGCGGCGTTCAAGTGAGATGGAAAGTGATTGGTCGCACCGTCTCCGCACTAGGCGTCAACGTAGTCAGCGACTCAACCATTGCGCCATCCGCTCTCCGATTTGATAGCGTGGCGCGGTCCACTGTATCGGGCAAATATGTCGCGAATCCGGTCCAGTCCTAGGACCAGGATTGCGGTTCATCAGGGGCTCGCCGTCAACTTCGCGCCGTCGCTCCTGAGAATCACTCAGCCACTTCGTTCTTTCGTCTCACTGGAGGATTGCCTTGTGTTTCGTTCACGTCACTTTCTTTATCGTGCCCTCGTTCACTTGTTTCGGGGCTCGCAAAGCCGAGCTCGATGTGTCCCTTGTGCGGTCAGCAATTCATAACATGCACCCTCATCGACCGCATCAAGTCGTGCGGTCGGTCATGGCCTCGCTGTGCTACATTCCGTTCAGGATCCATCTCATCTGCTTTCAGCATCCATCTCATCTGCTCTCAGCATCCATCTCATCTGCTTTCGGCATCCATCTCATCTGCTTTCAGCATCCATCTCATCTGCTTTCAGCATCCATCTCATCTGCTTTCGGCATCCATCTCATCTCCTTGCGCAATGTGGACGACTGGCGAGCTCGTCCGTGAGTTGCTTGGCTTGTGCTTGTGCCTGCTGCGGAGTAGTATCGCGGCACCGATGATGCACCTACAAACCGAAGGTTCGAGCCGTATTCGGAGCGCGCCAGATACTCTTCGACTTTCCCATCCCTGACAATCACCGAAGCCGTCGTCGGGCAACGCCGTTGCAGGTGCTGCAAGGGCCCCACCACGCAATCAGCACCGCAAGCGTCGCGTGGGCTGCTCCTCCCTCACCCGTCTTGCCTCGTACAAAGAGCAAAGCTCTGTTGCACCTACCTGCTGAGCCGCTGCGGGCCTCTACATGAGCTGAGCCCGAACGCCTAGCACCAAGTCGATGCAGCACTAGTTCTCGACGACGATCGGTCACACCTTTCCTTTCCCAGGCCAAGCGAGCTCCAAGCTGTTCAACCCTTTGACTTCCCGTAGCAGTCGTAGTCGACCTTGCAACCGCGGACGGGGGATGTGTGGAGCTGTGAAGCTGGTTGCTACCTCGTCCAGGACCTGAATTGCGATATTAATTTCACTCTACAGTCCTCTTTGGTTGCTTCAAGCTTCACACGTGCAAGGTCAGCGCTCGAAAGGTTGCCTTTCCCGGGGTGCGCTACACTACGACAGCGGAGGAGCGGCAGTCTCCCCGCAAGAGCCGGAGTCGCGGAAATGTGTTCGCTACTTTCCGCTGACAAAGCACGTCTTCCCTTCCTGTGCATCCGCCGGCGCTCATCCCTACTGTAGACAGTCCCCGGCGAGTTCCCGATGACCGACTTCCAAATGAACCTGCAACGGTCAGCCTCCTCTCACGGGTGGTGGTGGGCACGCGCTCAAGATAGCTTACTCAGGGGCTACCGGTCCGCCGCTCACGCGCAAAATTGTCCCAATATCCCGTCACCCTCCACAACAATGCGAATGAAGGAAGGAAGTACCCCTGCGCTTTCTGATGCGAGATTACCACAGGCCCAGTAGACGGTGCCATCCCTGCCGGGTAGCTGTGTGTACCCCAAGGCAGCGCGAGGGATGCAGCGCGAAGGATCTCCGTCGCTGGGGTAAGTCTGACCAATGTCACGCCACACTCTATCCCCTCACAAGACCCAGGTCTTGCCACCCTTTCTCGCTCAAAGAACGCAATCCTTGTTTCCTCGCAACCAACTGCCAACACTTTTCCTCCCCAGGCGCTACACAAAACGCGCATCCACTCTCTGCCACGTTTGCGAGAGTCAAAGACCATGAGACCATTGTCGTCGTACGCTCTGACGCTTGCTTTGGCGGGCGCACTCGGCATGGTCTCCGCTCAGTCAGCGCGCCAAACATCTGAAATTTCCTCTCGCGATGGTTGTGGCAAGTACAGTGAGTTACGATTTCGAGAGAGTTTCCGTGTTGGCCCTTGCCCCGCGTCTTCGTTCTAGCCATGCCTAGCGCGCTTTTGGGGCCAGAAGTGCTGAGACGACGAATCCAAGGATCTCGCTCAGCTGGGAGATGGCCTCACTGACGCGACCACGTCCATCACTATCCCAGCTATCATATCGACCAGAGGCACCGGAGAGATGCAAGGGCCATCTTCTGGTTTCGGCGGCATGATTCAGACAACTCTGTCTACCGTTGAAGGTGGGGAGGAATACGACACTGTATATCCAGCGGACGCATCGCAGATGGGAACAGCAGGAACGGAAGACATTCTGAGGAAGGTGACATCTACCTTGAGCGAGTGCCCAGACCACATGTTTGCCTTGCTAGGTTATAGCCAAGGCGCGGCGCAGACCACCGCAGCGGTACAGCAGATGCCAGAAGATAGCGACGAATTCGAAGCTGTCAAAGCCATCATCGTGGTCGGGAATCCAAGTCGCGTTCCTGGTCTGGAGGGGGACGTTGATGACAATGGTCGCCAGAGTGGCAGCACAGGAGTACAGGCCATGATGGGAGGGATACCGAAGTACTGGGACGATGCCGGCAAGGTCCTGGACATCTGCGCTGCAGGCGATAACATTTGTAGTGGCATGGGCGGCGGTGGTGGCGGAATGATGCGCCGGTTGGGTGCGGGCCACATGACCTACCCAACGAGTCAGTGGACGCAACAGGCTGGAGCAGATTTCATGATCAAGGCATTCAGCGGGGAGAACGATGAATGTTCATCGGACGACGATGAGGAGGAGGCGGACGACGACGACGATGAGGATTGCGCGTCAGACGGCGACGACGACGACGACGACGACGACGACGACGA